ACATTGGAGTCAAGAACTGAATATGCTTAAGATTTTTGAAGGAATTACATAATTCAGAGTTTATAGTTTACTAATTTTCACATGTTAATCATGGAGAATTATGTGATCAGTGATCTAATTTTGTAGTTAATTATGTCAGACTTCAGAGAAACATTTCTTTTTAATACAAAGATTTCATCATGGAAAGTGTGGACCTCTTGGATTATAGCCAATACAATAACAATAAAATTAGAAAATATTAGGATTCTTTATTTATAGCAAGGCCTTACTGTGTATTATTAAGTTCCTTTTTCCACAATTTAGGAAATATTTTATTTTTAGAGTAACTTTATTATTAACTTTAGGACTGTCAAGTGTCCATATTTATCAGCCTATCAGGGAGACCTTAGTTTACATAAACTATTCTTTTATTAGTTGTTCACATCGTACAACTACTTATCCGGGCTTAGGGTAGAAGAATAGAATGTCCTTGGTCAGAAAGTCAAAGACTAAAATGGACATAAAAATAGATTTTACCATGTCAATGAAGAACAGTCTTTAGCAGGCACTATAGTTTAAATGAGTTCCCCAAAGTTCATGTGTTGGAAACTTAATCTCCCATGCAATAGTGTTGGGGGAGGGCTTTTAAGAGGCAAATGGATCATGGAGGCTTTGCCCTCATAAATGGATTATCACCATTATCAAGGGAGTGAGTTAGTTATAGTGGTTATGGGTTTCTGAAAAAGAGTGAGTTCAGTTCTCTTTCCCTCTCTTGACCTTCTGCATTCTGCCATGAAGTGATGCAACATGACAGATTTCATTAAAGGCCAGTGCCATACTCTTAGATATCCCAGCCTCGAGAACCATGAACCAAATAAATTTCTGTTGGTTATAAATCACCCAATATGTGGCATTTTTTTAATAGCAGCACAAAATGGGCTAAGACAGAAGATTTGAGTTCATTTGAACATAAGATGAAGCTGAAATTGTTCAAAGCCTTAGGCACAGATGTTCTGAATCAGTATAAGTCCCATTTATTCATACTTTTCTCCTTAAAAAGTATCAGTGGTCCATCACTGATAATTGAAGTCCACACTTAACATAATGTTTGGAGAACTTCAAAAATCTGACTTTGGTATCTACCCTCCATCCAAACTTCCCATCCTTCCCCAGCTGCCATACTCATTTCTAGTCACTTTTTTTTTTTTTTTGAGTTGGAGTCTCACTCTGTTGCCCAAACTGGAGTGCAGTGGCCGCTCCCGGCCACCGCAGCCTCGACCTGCTGGGCTCCGGCGTTCCTTCCACCTCAGCCTTCGAGTAGCCGGAGTTACAGGCATGCGCTACCACGCCCGACTGATTTTTTTTGATTTATTGTAGAGATGAGGTCTCGCTGCCCAGGCGGGTCCCGAACCCGCGGGCTCAGGCAATCCACTCACCTCAGCCTCCCAAGGGTGCAGGATTACAGGCTGAGCCATCGAGCCCGGCTTCTAGTCACTTTTAAAACACGTGCATTGTTCTCTTCATCTATTTCTGTAATGCTTTCCTCTTGACTTGAAATTCTCTTCACTATTTCTTCTGCTAATTAGAAATCTCTTTCTACCACCATGAGTTCAAATGCTCCCCATTTGCGAACTCTTTCGACACCTTCATCCCGTAGTTTTCCATTGCCAAACCACTTGCTTATTCAGGGTCACTACAGCAGTCTGAGCAAATTTCTATATTTATTGTTTTAATACTTGTCTATTGATACAACACAATTATGATTTTTTTTTTTTTTAAGAGAAGAGCATAAGCCGGGCTCGGTGGCTCAGCCTGTAATCCCGCGCCTTTGGGAGGCTGAGGTGAGTGGATTGCCTGAACCCGCGGGTTCGAGACCCGCCTGGGCAGCGAGACCTCATCTCTACAATAAATAAAAAAATCAG